AGTAAAAATTCATCAGAAAAGTTAAACTCCATGATGAGTTTGTTATGTATACATGAATTGATGACAATTAACCGAACTTATTTTTTAAAATAAAGGGGATATCTGTCAAAAATAAGCAAAACGTTTGCTTTATCCTAGTTGCATAAAATTTATCATATGGATATAAAATTGTCGTAGACACAACTTTTTCAAGTAATTTTTTGTTAAACTCGATCTAGAAATGCACTTTTTCAATTCTTTTAAAAAAAAAAGTTGAATTTGACAAACACTCAACGTCAGTGGGTCGCAGTTGGCCGCATCATTTTAAGTAAAATTTAAAGCACAAACAAGTGCCGAAGTTAAACTTCATTGAAACTTTTCGAAAAAAAAGTTTCCCATATGGTGCGCACTTTAATGGTGACACTGTATATTTGTGCTCTTCGATATTTCTTATTGCTCCATTACTTCGTTATAGAAAAAAATGTCTCTAGCAATCCGTATTTGTTTCAGGAAAATGGAGCTGCTTTCTACGCAGGCGGACTCGAAGTGGGCCAGCTGATCCTGCAAGTGGATGGCACCCGCGTCGAGGGTCTTCAGCACCAGGACGTGGCCCGCCTGATCGCGGAGTCTTTTGCCCGACGCGACCGAGAAGAGATCGAATTCCTTGTGGTGGAGGCAAAAAAGAGCAACATGGAGCCGAAACCGACGGCCCTCATATTCCTCGAAGCCTAACATTTGCTTAGCCTCCCCCCTAGCGACCCCCCGGGGCCGAGTAATTTCACCGACTGAATTAATTTGCGATCTATTACATATCATGTATCATAAAACACGGTTTGATCGAGTCGGAGGCAAATCGATTACTGACGATGTGACGATGGCCAGCGAAACGTTCGAATGGTGTTGTAGTTATGGTAGAAAAGGAAAACGTTTGGGTGTTTTACAGTACGGCCGTGGCTACAATACGAAGTATCGTTGGTCACTTTGATTATATTTTGAGTCTTCGTTCTTTTTCTAGTTTGACGACCTGAGTAATTATTGTGCAATCAATATAAGATCCCATAGCAGTCAAGCTTACCTCAAATCAGCAAATCAGCAAATCAGTGTCGTGTTTATAGTCAAGAAATATTTTTTATGAAAGCGGGTGGTTTTTACAGCTATCAGGAAGTGCATTCCTAACCTCTCGCGATGTGCGCTCGAGTTTCAATGTACCAATGGCAGATCACTGCAATTGCAGAAAGCCCTTTATCTACGATTGTGCAAAAATTTTGTCCATTTCTGAATACGTTAATATAAATTTTCTATGATTTCTCATCAAATACGACAAACATATTTCTTTGTGAATTCCCAAATAACTATAGACCAGAGAGAAAGCCGTAAACCATCACCAATATGGCTTTCGTAAACAAAGATCAACAGGTGACCTTTTATCGTATGTCATCCATATTTGGAATAACGCAAAATGTGCGTCGCTCATATTTTTATTCAAGTTAGTGAATGAGAGAGTTGAGTGTCCTAAAATTCTTGAACAAATTAACTTCAATGTACCACGGACAGCTTCACGATCTCAATCCGTTTTTAGACCTCTCAGAGCAAGAACTAACATTATACTCAATTCCCCAATATATATTATGTGCACAAATTTCAATAGCATTTGTGTCTATGGTGATTTATTCTCCACTAACCTTTACAAACATTATTAGAATTGCTAACATGTACTTGAAGTAGGTAATTAGAATTAGTTTTTCTTTTTGGTTAATTTTAATTTTCGTTTATGGTTAAGCATTGTGAATAAACTTTTATATTGTCCTGTAAATGGGTAACTGTTCTTATTATTAAATTATTATTATCATTTTCACCGTAGTGTGCGCTGGTCTATCCCCCGAAGCCCCGATACATTCGGGAGGGCGCGCCAGCATTATTATGACCACTCCCCATACCGTAGGGTAAGTGATCATTGGGTCCGAGAATCATGTGCCCTGAGCAAGCGCAGTGGGCCAAGAATGGAAGCCTTCTGCCTCTGTGCGGCTAAGATTTCTGCCTTAGTGCGGTAAGCCGATATGATTTTAAGATTCGAGAGTAGAGAGGACATCATTCCACCAAGGACTCCAATAATCAGAACAACCATATTGACAGAGTGATCTGGATAGAGTCTGCGGAGTTCGAAGAGAAAATCTCGATATTTTATCCGTTTTTCCTCCTCTTTTCTGACGATATTCGTCTCGCCAGGAGCTGAAAACTCCACGACAAATATCGTTTTGCTCTGGTGGTCGAGAAGGACTACATCAGGCTTATTATTATTATTATTATTATTATTATGACCAATTTAGACCGAAAAGTATCTTAATTTCAACTGGATGAAAAATTCTGAGGAATCAGTACCTAATGTAGCTGCACTGAAACGTTTTCCTATAGACTAAATATAATATGCATTCTCAACCATTGTAATAAAACATGGAATCATTGAAAATATTTCATAATTGTTGTGTACAGCTTTAGTAAAAATCGCTTTTCTCGTTAGCCACAAATGGTTGTGCATATTATAAATGTCGTATTTTAAATATATGTTTTAGATTATGCTTTCTTGTGATATCATCAACTGATTTTATACAATTGAGTGGGTAATCAGTTAGTGACCGTAGCCCCAATGTTTTGAGTAACTGCAAAAAGAAAGTAGTGCTTCTGTCAACATAACGAACAGTAGTGATTATGTAGAAGGGCTTTCTTTGTCTAGTGCCATTCTAGAATCAGAAGATGTTAGTCAATTTCAATGACTGGAAGAAGTAGAAATGAAATTTCAATTATGACTCATATACCTTCCTCAGTCTCGGTTTTATTGGAACCCAGTTTTAAAAGGAGCCTGCTTCAAAGTATAAAATTTTGTTGAGAAGAATGCTTTATGTTTAAAATATGACAATCGGTGATACCCTAGCGAAATCTAGAGGGAGAGGCACTATTGAATCTGTAAAGATATTGTAAATGTATATAAACACAAATGATATATTTTAAAATATTGAATAAAATTTATTTTACGAGAATCCAGTATTACCAGTACATTAAAATCATTGAGCTGATATAGCTGTGCCAAATATGTCAATGCATAATTATCTCTAACCTTGGGATTAAAAAGAGTTTGAGTTGGCATTATCAGAGTACTAATTCAAAACTTATGATAATAGTAACCTCATTGACTGTTTCAAAAATAATTTTTATCGTTGTCATAAATATTTGTTTTACAAATGTTATTTACGTAATCAGACAAATATTTGACTGATTTGTATTCAGTTATGGCTGAAGGTAGACTAATATCCCTGTTTGAAGTACCAAGTCGAAAGTTTTGAGTCCTACTAGTTAACGAAAACCAACATTTTCCATTGAATATCAAATTTTCTTCGATGTTCCACCTGTTACATACGACTCGAGGCCGTTACTTCAATGTATGATCATATATTTGAATATTATGTAAATAAGAAGGTTCTAAATTATAAAAAGTTGAAATAATGTGATCGATCAATATTTGCTATCTTTCAATTTGTACAAGCCGAAGACGTAAAAACATTCATTCCATCTTCAGACTTTACGACCTTAGTTTACTTTCATTCAAAAGAAAGGAAAGATCACACATATTAATGATGATTTTCAAAACTCTCTCAGCAAATGTCATAAGAACTACGATATCTCTTCAACAACATATATTAATATGATTCACTTTTCATTGAAATCGCCAGGTCAGAAATGAAAAATCTCTCGAAGAAACATCTTCTCAGATATCTCAAAGGTGCGAATTCGTTTCGTACTTTTCATAAAAGATGACGTATGCACCTCCACTTACAGATGATTTTGCTGAAATTGGTGACACGTGTGAATCGTTGTATACAGGCCACGTGTCAGTTTAGAGATGACTGCAGAGTGCTGTGTAATGTTCGCTGTAAGAAGACCCACTGTAATTCGAAAGTGCATATAGAATATAACGACAAAAAGTCACATTGTCTCCTGCATGATTGCTCATCTCTAATCCATCTATTAGAAATTCGATGGCAACATTTAGTTTGCCTCTAAATCTTTTCGTTAGAGAAACTCTTTTAAGATGAATTACCAAAATACGGGAAAACTTATGGATTGATAGAGACTTTGTGAATATTTTTCTTTCCTTGCTACTCGAACACGTCGGTTTTTCATGTCCCTCCAAAGTTCCCTCTCTTATGGAGGAATTCAAGCATTGTGACAAACTCTAATGGCCAGTCCTTCGTGGTATGGGGAGTGACAAATCCCAGAAAGGATCGAAGGTTACTAATTAGTGTCCACAGTATGTGCACATCGTGGATTTTAATTGACCAAAAAATGATATATAATTATATGATATATAAGTTATATTCTGTTGAGATCGGGTTAGGTTTCTCATTTATTCTATTAAAATCATCATGTGAACCTTCTAAAAGATAAAGAAGGGGTTCCTGGGCGTCTTATTGATGCGCATGACCTATGAATCGAGGGGCAAAACTCTGAATTTTACTTTTCGAAGAGACTGTGTTAACTACTCTATCAGATGAATCTTCTGACCACAATTCCTTGATAACTTCTGCAAACGTTTAGAATAAAACACCCTCCGTACCAAGGGCGTCACCAATATATGACTAAGGGGGGCAATAGGGCAATATTATGAAGGATAAAAATATGAACGTCTGGTACAATCGAAAGCATGAAGTGTTACATTTTGGAAGTATTTGCCTCGATGACGATTGTAATAAGAACGGTTCTGATATCAATGTATAAAACTTCACAAGCCCTCGACAGCACAATAACTAAATCAAACTTTTAAACACAGTAATAATTATTTATTTCAACAAAAATAATATGTATTCAATATTTAACCTGCGGGGGTGTTTTGCAAAACTTTCAACCACTTCATTATTAAAATTATTTAGATTTTTATTTGTTATAGCTCTGTGAACACTCATCATTGCTAGACCATTAAGGCGATCTTCTGCCATAGTGCTTCTTAGCCATGTTATTAGTCTTCTGAGGCTGCTAAATGATCGCTCTACTGAACAGGTCGTGCATGGTGAAGCGATCAAAATTTTCAATGCTTTTTCCGTTTCGGGTAAGAAGGAATTTGTTTCATTTAGGACATCAACAATTGTAAGATTTGTTAGATTAAGCCTATCGTGCCACAATTGCTGCCAAAGTTCGATTTCATCCTTTATGTTCGGTAAATCATAAAACTGGGCAATAGATTCACAAGTTTGTTTCAGATTTTCAGTTGTCATCTTTCGCATCTGCGCCGGGTGTAACTTAGATAATGCGAATGATGGCGTGTTTCCTTCAGCAAAACGTACTTCAAGGAAGGTGATAATTGAATCCAAGTATGGTATTACTAAAGACCTCTTCCAGTATTCTGAAAGGCTTTCTGCTGGATGATTGCTTCTATGTCGTTGTTTCCCCGTAATACGCGGCATTGTTGTAATATCCTCCTCCAGTCCGACTTTCTCCGCAACAGCAGTAGCTTCCTTTATAATTTCGTCCGTCACTTTTTCCGGATTTTCACGGTAGTTTTCAATTAAAAGTAAAATCCTTTCAACGTGTTCCGAGGCTTCGACCACGTCCAAAGCTACAGATTGGTGTACGTTGACAAGGGGTTCCATCAAAGCCGAGTAATTGGCTACCAACATGATCCCGAGAATGAAAGAAATTCTGGAATAGCCGCATGCAGTTGGAAGGCACTTTTTTGAGTTGCACTATTTCCCTCCTGAGATAATGTTTGTGAGGCTTCCAGAATTATTGGAAGATTTTGTTAAAAAACTCTGATGTTTGTGTTTCTCACTACATCTTGTTTGGCAAAATCTGGAAATATTAGGTATCAACTTCCTCCTCAAAATTGATTCCCGAAAAAAGTTTAAAGTATCTTTGGTGGTTCCCATGGCATGCACACAACACACACACACACCATACCTACCTCCTAGCTACATATTTTCACACTGTTTAATAGCAAATCTGATATAGTCGTGATGATAATGACAGCGATTTTAAAAACGGATGTCAAAATATTAATATTATTCTGAATATTTCAATACTTTCTACAGTATACATTAAACCTTATGAATGTATTTATGGTTTGTCATAGGTAAGGAAGTCAATTGCTTGTACTTTGGTTGCTTTGCGGCTAACTACATTTGATCCCTCAAGGGGCAACTGCCCCCTTTGCCCTCCGTTGGCGACGCCCTTGCTCCATACTAGAAACACTAGTATTGATATCTTTCATGTTTTCATCCTATCTTGAATATTTCAGTAACCATCTCGTGTTTGATAAACATTGGATTACACTGTTCATGAAACAGGTGTTGCCAAAAATTTTCAACCCGTTTAGTCCAAGGGTTTTGACTGAAGAATGTGAATTGAAGAAT